ATTATTAATATTATTACTACTACCACTACTACTACTACTATTATTGGAAATGAAGGAAATGAAAAACAAAATCAATGAGTAAAAGTGTGTATTATTATGCAGCGAGAATGAATGAACGAGTAAGTTAATGAACAATTAATGATATATGCACTTATTACTATCTGGTATGTATGTGTGTGTATATAGGATATTCCGTGAGGTATTCAATAAATTTTTCCCACGTGTTCGGCAGATCATTCTGAATAAAAAAAATTATCATATACTTTATAGGTCTATTTAATTTTATTTACCATTTATATAAAAAATGTTAGATATATAGCATAATTGTAATCTAGTTACATTTTTTCATCTTAAATATTTTTTAAATATGCAATCTCTAATCTGTGTATACAATGCTTATTTTTGTTTTCAAGAAACATTATTATAGTAATTATAGTACAATTAATAGCCATTGATAGCTTGTACACACATGGTAATAAATTACTAAATTCTACTTAATACTATATCTGTATGCTAATTTTTATTGTTTTCTATTTGAACGGAAAATCTGGAAAAAAATTCCAATGCTTTTAAAATTATGTATATATTTTTAATATAGTAATAAGAAACTATATCAACGGAATATTGTTATTTTTCTTTATCTATATCTCACTCATTGTACATAAGAAACTAAATCCTATTTTAAGATAGCATGTATTGGTCCATTTAGAACACAGCTAAACAACATCTATCTTGGTTACAACACAAAACTAACTTACAATGTATATTTTTTAATATTCTTGAACATGATTTGGTGAACATATGAAGGAAGTTCATTAAGTACCTCATAAGACATTCTGTATACAGATAATGCTTTATATACATATGTATACATACACACACGTGTGTATGTATAATAAAATTGACAGTAATTGCGACATACGTTATTTCATAAATAATGAAAAATCATCAACAATTTATTGCTCTTTTTATCGCTATAAATAAAAAGTGAAACATTGTATTATAGTCTCTATTTCCCTATTATATAAGATATACTTGCTCCCGACACTGTGTTGCGATATTCTTGACACATGGGATATGTAAAGAATATTTATGTAAATATTTTTAAGTCATATATTTGACGATTCTTAAAAGATATTATACAGAAGCCATAGAGGCACATAATTTTATCGTTCAAATTGTTAATAGTAATAATATTTGAGTTTATAAGATAACAAAATGCTGCAGACTACCAGCTACAATGCACCAGTCATCGTGCTGTAGTCAATTCAAAAATAAATAAAAGTCGCACGCTCCAAAATTATGTTATCATTAGATTTAATCTGTTCCTTTTGTCAGATATAAAAAATCAATTATTAGTTCTTTCGTACATATAAAATAGATTAATTATGTATATAAATGTAAGAAAACATTATTGGCTATCACAACTTATGCATAAGTGTTCAAGAAGCAAAGACTACAAATTAAAATTTACAAATATATTGCACTTACCACTGCTTTTGTGGTAGCATATTCTGCCACGTTGATATATAGTACTAAAGATTAGCAAATGAAAATTAGTAGCACAGCAAAGTATGAATTTTCCTAAGTTCCTGTGTTCCTACATTTACAGTAAAAACTTGTTCTTGACCTTCATGAGGAATTGCGATTTCTGCAGCAAGCAATTGACTTTTCTGCATTGCTGCAGCCATTTCACGATTTGGGAATACTGCGAAATTGGCTTCAGCCATTCCACCTACTGTTTTCTGTATAACTTCTTCAAGAACTTCATTCTAAAACAAGATACCAAATTTTTAGTTTTTATTTGTATACTATTATGCAAATTTATATTTTTTCAGTAACTGATGACTTACAATTAATTGATCAGCACGCTCTTTTAATACATTCATAACTATCTGTCGTTGTAACAGTTGGTAAGCTGGCATTGCTTTGTCTAACGGTGGACCTTCCAAATCGCGTGCCTTATTACGCCTTAAATCAGGAACGATAGGGAATGTCATGACTTGTTTAATGTCCTGAAAAATAAGAAAAATGTTGATGAAAATTAAATAAATATAAAAGAATGTTCTTTGAATCTTTTATTTATATAATAATTATTTTGTGACTTACTTTAGTAAGATCATCAGTTTTTTGTTTTAACTCCTCTATTTTCATATTAATTTTTCCCTGTTTTAATTGTGGAATTATTGGATCCAAACTTTCTAACTTCTGACGTAATATATCGGACATTAATTTCTTTTTCTGTTGGTTTTCATTATTCAATGCTTCCTTTAGAGCCGTTATTTCTTGTATCAAAAATTGATTGTCCATTGTCTGAATTTTAGATGTTGTAACACTACCAGATATATTATCGGCTCCAGACGCAGACATCATCGTCTTCTTTCCAACAGATTTTAATTTTTCTTTTAACTGACCCTTTTCAATTTCCAAACTATCAATATCTGTTTGAAGATGATCCAACGTTTCCTCAAATTCTTTTTCCTTTCGTTTTAATTGATTCAATGCTACTTCTAATTTTCTTTTCAGTTTTTCTACATTTAATTCATGTTCGTGTTGTTGAGTTGCAAGCTTTTTCTCCACAACATCCTTCCTCAAAATCATTTCACTTAATTCTTCTTGTTTTTCTCGAAGAGCTAATCTTGCTTCGAGTATATCGCTATCTCTAGCTTCTAATTTTCTACTGAGTATTTTAATTTCTTCAGCTTCTTTCTTTGCTGCTTGTGCTCTTACTTTAATAGGCTGTAAAGACTCATTTTCCGTACTTTGTCCTCGTTGGTGTAATAACTGTCCACTTATTTGTAGCTCATTTTCACATTCTGCCATTTTTTGTGCTAAACTAGCTGCTAACTGCTGAATTCTTGACAAACTTCCTTTAATCGTAGCTACAGGTCCGACATCTTCAGTATCGTAAATCTTCTCACATGATATAGAAGTCATTTCTTTCAATTTATCTGCACTAAGTCCTGTATCTACATCACCATTGGCGATAATTGCTTGCACAGCATTTTTCAGCACAGTTTGCAAAGTTTTCATCATTTTCATAGCATGTTTGTAACATGCAAAAAGTTGTTCGCTACAGTCTTTATCCAGTCCTAAGTTAGATTCTGCGACATGAATTGCGGTTGCATGATCTGTCAATACACGTCTTCTGGCCGACTTTAAGTGTTGCTGAATTACTTCACATGTTGTTTCCGCATGTTGACACAGAAGACCTATATCACCACTGTCTCCCTGAATTAAAGTTTTAATTGCCGCGGCATCCGTTGTAATAGCATCACAAGAGCTTTCTAACATTCTCGTGCCATTAACTATCAAGCGGGCGTGATTAATAGTTTCCCCAAATAATACAGAAAACATAGTACAAAAGTATCCACAACATTTCTCAATAGCATCCATTGGTAGATTCTCGTCTAATTGATCTTTTTTAGCCAAATCTATCAAACAATCTAAAGATTTTTCTTGTGCAGCCATTTCTGGATAAACTGCTCCAGCTTTGAGTAACATTTCAGGAGAACATACATTCAATGCAGATTCAAAACAACCGAGGAACGTTTGCAATGCATACATGTATGAACAAAGACGCGATCTGAAGGTATATTGTGCTACTGAGTGACCCTTTAAAATAGCTAGTCTGTCCACTTTATCTAATGATCTATATTTTTCTCGTACTTGTGATATAAGTATTTCTGTTTTTTGCATCATCCTTGGTATAAGAAGAAGTGTTAGAATAGCATCATGATCTCCACCACGTGCTAAAAATGCAGGAGGCATAAAAGATAATAAATATTTCACATGATTTCGAGCTTCTTCAGCTTCTAATCTTCGTAATTCAAGATCAACAGCTTTTGTTTGTGCACGGGTTTCAGCAAAAGTTTTTTGGAAATCTAAAATCTCCGCTAATTGTTGCTCTGTGCCTGCTATACCAAATTTAGAAGTTTCAGTTGATTGTACACGTTGCTGTAATTGCAAACACTGCTCCTGTAATTGATGAGTGAGTTCACGAAACTTCGTAATTGTAAGTTCACGATCTGCTAATGTCTCTAAAGCTGCATCTCGATGTTGGTAAGCATCACGTGCTGCTCCAAGCGCTAAATCTAATTCTTCCCGCAATTCTAATTCTAATTCTTTCGATGATTCAGCAAGTTGATCAGACATGTCCTAAAGAAAAGAACAATTATTCAAATAGTAATTGTTTAAGTAATCTTTAAAAAGATTTACTTGTAAAGCTTCTAAGTCTGCAACAGCCTCTTCCAATTCTGCAACTTTCTCTTCTAATGCCATCTTCTTCTCGCCAAGTACTTCAACCATTTCTTCAGCACCTAACGCAGCATCAACCTATTCAATGGAGGAATAAATTCTTGTATCAATAAGAATTTGATTATTAAAAATTATTTCCATATTTCTTACTTGCTCCTGCAAATCTGCTATTTGATGTTCCATTTCTTCTACCCGTGTGGATAATTTTTCCTTCGTACGACCCAACTCTAATATTTCTGACTTCTTTTGATCTAAATCCTTTTGAAGCTTTTGAAATTCGTGCTTCTCGTGTGCAGAAAGATCCCGCATTCTAACTAGAGTTTCTCGTAACCGATTATTTTGTTGTTCCAATTGTTTTATTTCATAATTTGAAGCACCAGCAGTTGATCCCCCTCCTACTGTCTATAATAATTATACAATCCTTTATATATTAATAATTATAATACAATAATAAAATGAAGATCATAATAAATATTACAATAAAATAAAGACAGTATATGAGGTACTTTACCCTTTCAGATACTTCTGTTCGTAATATTTCTAGATCTAGTGTTTGCTCTTCCAATTTTTCTTTCAATTGTTCTAATTCGATTTGTAATGTTTCAGCTTTCTCTTCAGCCATTTCTTTATCTAATGCTGCCATTTCTACAGTTTCTGCAAGATCTGTCATTTCTTCTTGAAACTGTTCTCGAGCTGCGTGTGCTTCTCTTGCTTCTTGACGTGCGCGTTGCAGTTCTCTTTGCAGACTAGCCTTTCATCAGAAATAAATATATAATTATTAAAATTAATGTGAACTATGAAACTTCTTTAATTTAATTTAACAGCTATCATTACTTGGCTTTCCATAACTTTTGTTTTGAATTCAATAAGTTGTTCAAGTTGAAGTTTTGTTTTCTCAAAGTCTTTCATTCTTTCCTTATCTTGCATTCTTTTCACTCGTAATGTTTCTACTTTTTCTGTAAGGTCCCGAACCTATAATAACATAGTGTGATAAAACACATACACACATATACGTATATATATAAATAAAATAATATAAAAAATAAAACTTCAAAAATTCAAGGATAGACTTTATTTAAGTAGGTCAAATAAATCAAGTAACAAAAATTAAAAGACATTTATAATGGTCAGAAGTGTTAATTTTGATAGTTTGTTTAAAAAGGAATTACAAAATCAAAGAAAGCAAATCTTGGTAACAAGTAGTTCTTTAACAGTTTAAGAAATAAATATAATTTGAGGAAAATAAAATTACATATTTTTAATATAGCATACCTGAGATTTTAAATTCTCATTTTCTTGTTGAAGTTGTAATTGTGACAATTTCTCTTCTACTACATTTGCAGCTGCAGCAGATCCTGCCATTACTTGGCCAGGTACAAACTGTGGTTTCAGAGTCTCTACAAAACCTGTCTAAATTGCAAACAAATTATACATGAAACTATAATTTAATATTGGGTGTTTTTTTTATTATCGCACTGAAAACACAAGTTGATTTTGGTTTTTTAACATATCTGGTGTACCCTGAGATGATCAATTGAATCATTTATCAATGATGCAATCAACAATGTAACTTTTTATCGGCGGTAATGAAAAAAACACCCCGTATTTCCTAAAATAAAACATTATGTTTCAGAAGAATGTTGTTTTTGTATGTACATTCAGTAGAATTAGTCTATTCCAAAGTGATTAATGAGATTAATTGTGACAAAAGACACCAACAAGCTACACCAAATATTCTATTAGTTCTAACAAGTGTAGGAAATTCAGTCAATGAGTTGAATTGTGTTATATGACACTGAAATTTACAGTAAACATATTATTAACTAAGTCATCTATCATGTCCTAACCATTTATAAATATTAACTGCATTTGTATCAGGGATATAAGGTTCTTAATAAATAATAATTAAACAAAGAGAGAGAACAAGAATGTTCCAAATATGGATTATAAATTTATACCATAATGCTGTTAAATACCTATTCATAGAAGGGCTGTTATTATTACCTCATTAATATAATTCTAAAGGAAATTCAGCATCTAAATATTAAAAAGAAAAATAACAATTATATATTGGACACCTCAATTCCATTGAGAAATTTTAAACTATCAAAGCATCACAGAACCGAATTAACAAAGCAGATGTTTGATGGAACAGTGAAAATAATGAAGGATAAATCAGTTCCATGATCCATTAAGAAGAAGTAAACCCATCAAAGTGCAGTGATGCTAATTGTTACGAAGTCATGTGTTACAATGCTTATGATCAACAAACAACTAGTATGAAAAGGTTTAAGGTCAGATGAGAAAATTTAGATATTACAATTAATGAGTATTAATTACATTATTGTGATCATCTTGGGCCTTTGGCTTTTTGCCGGGAGGCGAGCTCGTGCTAGGGGACTTCTGAAACACGTACGTGCATTCCCATATGAATCATTCTGTGTCAACGGAATTATTTAACATACTCAAAGTTTACTATTCTGCTATATTAGTTCATCTATCATTTTAAAAATTTCTGTATAACTTTTAATTTAATACCGAGTCACAGAATAAGATTCTTCGAATATGATAGTAACAAACATATAAGTTACTTCAAATAATTCAAAGATTTAAAGGTAGCGAAACCAATGATTTTCTATTAATTTAATCATGAGAAGTTATCACATTTAGACGTATATTTATATTTTATGGAAGACTATATTATGTATTCATGCCTTGTTGAATCTTCAGAATAATCCATTCACTGTGTTCACATAAATAATTGATATATCAACTTATTAAAATTATGTAAAAATAATACAAGCATGTTTAAAACAAAAACTTATACCTCAATAAATGAAGCTCGCTTAGTGGATGTTGGGGCTGGTATAAGTGATTCTCCTCCATCTTTACGTTCATGTTGTGATCCAGATAAACTCTCTGTACTTGGAGCACTTAAAAGTGTTCTACTACCCGCCAATGATAATCTTGAACTGCAAAAGCATACAATTTTGATAGAATTTTAAGAAACTGTAATGAACACTAACAATATCAAAACTAAAAAATATAATATTCTATTCACACTATTAAAGTTATATTTTCTTATACAGATTATATAAATTTCTATAAATCAGAAAAATATTAATAAATTACAATACAATTTAAACACATGCTACTAAGTCAAAAAATAAATGTTAGATTATTTAATAGTTCAGTTTTATTGTAATATACTTTAATGGCATATAAATAGCTATAATACTTTTCCAAAAGTGAAGAAATAATAAACCAATTACAACTCTTTATTCGTATGCTTATTTAGACTCTTCATAATTTGCATCATTTTAAATATATTAAAATTGAAGTTACAAGATTACAAGCCTATAATGAGTAAAGCTTATGAAAATCATAAACAGTCATGAATAGTAATTATAATTTTTAGCTGCTTACACATACAAAACAATTGGAAAAGATATTAAGACAAATTTCTCAGTGAACAGTTTTCATAAATTCTTACCCAGATAGCTTGTCAGATTGTTGCCTGGTATGGGCAGGAGATGTTTTTCTCCGTACTCTTTTATGACCAGCATATGAATTTTAAGAATTTATTAATCATACTTGCCTTTAAATGTATATACCCATGCTTCTTTATTATTTTTCATATGAAAATTTTATAATAAAGTCTAATAATTTATTTTATAAATTAAAAATTCTAATTGATAATTTAATACATTAACTTACGCAGTAGGTTCATTCCTTCGACGTGTACTTATGCTAGCATGAAATTTATGAAGACTTAAGTTAATATAAATTCATATAAAATATGCAAGATTATTCTAATAAGAAAAGAAAACATAACAAACATTTAATAGAACTTTTTAAGATTAAAAGTTATAATACCTATTCAATCGACTTCTAGCACGTGCTGCACTACTTTCATCTGGTGTAGTAGCACTACTACCTGCTGAGGATGGACTAGCAGGTTCAATCCTATTACCTGTTTCATCCAGTAAAATAAGTTGTGACTGTCGCACAAACATTCCATGATTTTCAGCACACTAGTATGATAAAAGGGTTAAATATGTAAAAAGTGATTGTGATTTTTATATCTTATAAACATATAAAAATATAAAATTTACTTTAAAATACGATTGACCCTTAATAGTTCCATTGTTTTTTCCTTTTGGTTCGTCAAGTATAACTCCAATCCATTTTCCTGAAGCAAAAGTCGGATAACCAATATAAGCAATTACTCCTTGACAGTCCTTATTAGAAACTTCGACACGCTGTCCAATTTTGTACGACATTTCAACTGTGACAAATTATTACACCTAGTTTTTTAAAGTTCATTTATTCTAATAAGATTTATTTTATCCTTTGTTCAGTTATATATTCTTTACAATTAATTCAAACGAAACAAATTCAATCGCACTGACACATACGTACAGTACTAACTATACATTTGTCTATTACTTATGCCAGTATGTCGCTTCTCTTGTACACTAGTGTAATTCAAAAATTTGAATTTTCACTTTAAGTTAAACAATTTCTATTATATTTTTATGTCTTACTATTTTATTAAAATTTAAAATCTTAAGATTATAATTTCATCCTTTAAAATATTATTCTTAATTTTCACTCAATTTATTCTCTTCTAATGAGTACCACTACAATAATTCTTGTTACTATTTAGATAAATTTATTTTAAATATATCTGATAGTAGAAAAAGAATGTGTATTTTATCATTTTGTTATCTCCCTTAATTAGAAATATTTTATTCTATGTAAATACGTTTAACGAAAAACTGTATAATTTGAATACTTGAAAATCTAAAAGAAGAACACTACTTACTATAAAAGGCTATCAGGACAGTATCAAAATAAAAAATTTGGTTTTTTACTGTATTATCTATTTGATATTGAAATTTTATTGTTACAAATATAAAATAAAACACGCGCAATTAATTATTATGACGAACACTACTTTAAGGTCTGTGTACATCAACATTCCTTTAAAATTTTCACTAAAGGTTATGCCCAGGGCACAAAATTATTTAATTACGTCTTTGAAAGATGTATGGACCTGTATGTATATGGCATCAAAATAATACCTTACGTTAAAGTTCTTAAAAAATAACTTTCTATCTTCATGTATATGTATGTTCCTATTATTTCTATTATTTCTATCATTTCAATAAATATTCACAATACATGTAATGAAAATGAAAGCTATTATGAAGAATTATAAAATTTGATTACGTTTGGTTAATATGACGTTCTGGTATCGCTGACATCGAATGTATTTTTCCTATTACTTAATTTTATATTTACTTAATAACAAAGCAAATTATTTCAAAGTGGTGATGGCTAATCATTACGAAGTACCCAATTGGTACGTTTAAATAATTTTTATTGGAATTTGCGTACAATTATTCAATTATTTTTTTTTACTTGACATGTAATAATACCTGTAGGTAGAAAAAATATCAAATTCTAATACACAGGTTATACTTTTCAGGGCTGGGAAACCACCAGTTGGATTACATTTAGATGTATTAAAAAATGACAAGTTAATTCAAGTATGGCAATTTTATATTATATTAAATCATTAAAGAATTATATCTTTTTAAAAGCATATTAAAGATATTAACCATTTTGTTACAGAAATTAATGGTTGATGAAAAAAAATGTTACTTATTTGGCCGTAATCAACAATTAAATGACTTTTGTATAGATCATGCTTCTTGTTCTCGTGTTCATGCTGCTCTTGTTTATCATAAACATTTAAATCGTGCATTTCTTGTTGATTTGGGGAGCAGTAAGTATTGTATATTTGTTTTTAATTTATGTTCTTTTAAGACAAGAATAACATTTTTATTTGTAGTAGTTTCTAATTATAAAATAAACATGTAAAGAATTAATGAAACAAAATATATAAGTATTATGACAATTTTTAGTAATTTAAATAAATTATTCATTTGTTCTATACCTATAAATTAATCTATCTATGTCTTAAGAAAACATTAAGGTTTAAATTATAAATTTTACAAACATTAATTAATTTCTTAGCACATGGAACATTTATTGGTAATCTTCGTTTGGAACCACATAAACCTACACAGTTACCAATTGATAGTACATTTCATTTTGGAGCATCTACTCGGTATTATATCATTAGAGAAAGACCACAAACGGGTACAAGGCCTATTATTGAAGAATTAGAAAAACTATCAGAAGACACTGATGCTGGTGGTTTATTAGGTTTACCTGAAACAGAGACAGAACTCGATGTACGAATTAAGTAATTTGTATTTAGACATATTATTGAAATATATATTAATAACTGTTATTAATTACAGAATTTAACGGAATTTAACACTGCACATAATAGACGTATATCTATGCTAGGTATAACAGATGATGAAATTCATAAACCAACTAGGAAACGGAAGAAGAAAGGAATTACTTTCAATGATGATGAAGAAGTAATAAATCCGGAAGACGTAGATCCATCGGTCGGAAGATTTCGAAATCTTGTACAAACAACAGTAGTTCCCAGTAAAGTAAGAGTCGTTCTGAATCGATGTTATATAGTATTAGATAAATCTATTATTAATTTATATTTTAGAGAATGCGTATGGAAGGAGGTTTAATATCCTTATCAGAGGATCATAACCCTTTAAAACACCTTCAACCTACAACAACTACACCCCAACTTTACCAAGATTTACCACCGGAACAGTTTACTCCATCTTCATTGTCTCTTAATCCATTTTCTAGTGCATTATCTTCGTTATCATCTCGACTCGGTATTGCGTTACCGAATCCAGCACCTGAAGTAGAAATGGCACCCAATCAAATACAGACAGAAACACCACACATACCAGAAATACCAGGATCTACCGATACACGAACAATGGAACCAAAAAAGAAAAAATACGCCAAAGAAGCTTGGCCTGGGAAAAAACCTATTCCAACACTTTTGGTGTAATAGTATTAAGAAACTTATTTTTACAAGATAGTTATATTATTTTGTATTTAGAGATTAAGTTATACAAGAATCTCTGCATAAATTGTCTATATAAAATTTCAAGGAGACTTTTAGTTAATATTAAATACTATTATTAACTATGTTAATATCTTGAAACTTCGATTGAATTTATTTTAAGGATAACTATGTAATTGTATCTTAAAGAGCAATTCATTCTTATGTATACTTTCTTTATCCTTTGTAAATCAATTTAAATTTAAATATTTGTTCATACCTTTATCGTGAAGATCAAAATTGTAATTAAAATTTCTTGTAAGATAAACGAACATAAATAAACAGTTTTACCTTACTTTAGCATTAAGAAAGGTAGGAATATAATGTCAAGTAAACATTACAAAGACATATCTATGATACCACACTTTGTTACTGCTAAAGTTATCTTTATCAAATATGGCTTGGATGAGTTTATTATGTTTAGGTATGAGTCGTACAGAATACATCACTTTAATATCCCAAGCAAATATGTCGAAAAATACGAAAGATTAACATAATCAGAATTTATATTTTTTATTACATATTATTGTAGCTGGCATCAAAACGTTCCCAGAATTACTTAAATGTAATTTTCCATTTCCGAGAAATGAACTCTTGTAGTTGACATAGCATTGTGTCAAAATTTAAAATCAGTAGCAACACCGAAAAACGTAAAGGTCCTTAACAATTTGAATATATCAATTTGAAATGTTTATCAGGATATATTCTCATTTTAAAGCCGCTATGATGTACAAAGTAGACTCAACGGTGTATCTTAGACAACGTTAATACCGGTAGCAGGTTAATGTTGAACGTTCATATTTCGCATACGGCTTATACCGTACCTAAAATTATGTTTAGATTGTGTTTTAAAAAAGTACAAAAATATGCTAATTAAGAAATTTCAAATTGACTTTTTTAAACTGTTTTTCAAAGTTATTGCAAGGTCAAATAAATGATAGCATAATTTGTTCCTCTCAAAACCTAAAACAAAATTTTGTCTAAATTTATCTAGATTAAAATAGGATACTCTGTACATATAAGGTAACACTTACTTGCAAATAATAACACAATAGTACTGTTATCAGATTATCTTGTTGCTTGTTTAAAAAAGTAGCGACTAATTATTCTCGGTGCATTACTACAATAATTATGTGCACTAATTTTAGAAGGCTTTTAATTTTAAATTTGCTCTGTAATTTCGTGTTTTACTTCTTATGCTAATAGTGTAGTTCTTTTAAGTAGCAGAAATTTATCGTTTATCTAATAATACATTATTTAAACATTTGAAATTAAATTAAAAGGTTATAATTCAGATTATTTTATCAATATGATGTTTATTAGTTTTTTAAAAAAGATTTTCTTAAAGAGATAAGAAGTAAACAAGTCACAAGACATAAGCTGTGTAATATGAGAATAGAAATTTTTCTTTTACACACAATTAATTTAATTATACATAAATTGTTTTGTTGGGTAGCTGAAAAATGCCGAAGTATTTGCATGAATTACGTGCATTTGTATTTATTAATATTCCATCGAAGCATCTGGTGTAGTTGAAGATTCAATAGCAACTTCTTCGTAATCTCTTTCCAATGCAGCAAGATCATCGCGCGCCTCTGCAAACTCACCTTCCTCCATACCTTCCCCGACATACCAATGAACAAACGCTCGTTTATGATACATAAGATCGAACTTGTAATTTAATTTAGCCCAGGCTTCTTCGATAGCAGTTGTATTTGACAACATTGAGACCGCTCTTTGTACCTATACCATATTTAACTGCTATGTAATCGCGCTCTAAAAATATTGTTCAAACGATTGAATTACAGTGCTTTAATTGCAGTGCATAGAAGCAATACTGTGAAACATTGAACTTTGTTCTTTAATTACTATATACGATAACACATTTACATAATAATTGGTACCTTGGCAAGGTCTCCGTCAGGAACAACGGTAGGTGGCTGATAGTTGATTCCTACTTTAAAACCAGTCGGACACCAATCAACAAAACGTATGCAACTTTTTCTCTTCATTGCGGCAATTGCAGCGTTCACATCCTTTGGTACGACCTCGCCGCGATAAAGCAAACAGCAGGCCATGTATTTTCCTTCACGGGGATCGCACTTGACCATCTGATTAGATGCTTCGAAGCATTCAGATGTTATCTCTGCGACGGACATACCCTCGTGGTAGGCTTTGTCGGCCGATACCACAGGGGCGTAAGTTGCCAACGGGAAATGAATTCTAGGATATGGTACTAAATTTGTTTGAAATTCCGTTAGATCAACGTTTAGAGCACCATCGAATCTCAAGGACGCGGTTATCGATGATACTACTTGACTGATAAGACGATTCAGATTCGCGTATGAAGGTCGTTCGATACCAAGTTTCCGCCGACAAATATCGTAAATTGCTTCGTTGTCCACCATAAATGCGCAATCTGAATGGCCGATGGTAGTGTGAGTCGTGAGAATTGCATTATATGGTTCTACCACAGCAGTAGATACCTAAACATCGTTGTTTTATATGTTTCACGCATTATGTAACGCATTATTGTATATAAGTAAGTTATATACATAAAGAAATACAAAGAATTATCGGCTAATGATTTGTTTCTGAAATTTCATACTTGCGGTGCCGGATACACGGCAAATTCTAATTTGCTCTTTTTTCCATAATCATCGGACAGTTTTTGCATAAGCAACGAGGTGAATCCCGACCCGGTACCTCCTCCGAACGAATGGAAGACGAAGAATCCTTGAAGTCCTGTACACTGATCCGTTAACCTTCTTACACGATCCATTACAGAGTCTATTACTTCCCTTCCAATGGAATAATGACCGCGAGCATAATTGTTTGCAGCATCTTCTTTCCCCGTGATTAATTGTTCGGGATGATACAATTGCTTATAACGTCCTATTCTTACTTCATCTACAGAACATTTTGAAATATTCGTAATTCTTCCTAGATACGTTTTAGAAAACTTTTGTCTTGGATAAAATTCTTTCTTTCTTTCTTTCACTTTCTTTGCTTTTTTCTATTTTTTTATTTTTTTATTTTTTTTTTTTTGGAAATTAAACTAACCAACGACAGTAGGCTCTAGATCAACCATTACAGCACGCGGTACCATCTTGCCAGAACTGGTTTCATTGAAAAAAGTGTTAAAACAATCGTTTGTTCCAGATACTTTGTCTGATGGTATTGTTCCATCCGGTTGAATTCCATGTTCGAGACAATATAATTCCCAACAAGCGTTGCCCATTTGAACACCTGCTTGGCCCACGTGCATCGAAATACACTCACGCTGGAGTAAAATTCACAATTTCTCAAAGATTGACAATTGAATAAATATAACTACAAATTATAATTATAAAACTTTTTGCATTCTTCAAAACTTATAACGAAATTTATCATTGAAAGTATAAACATAATTGTAAAAGGAGATATGGAAATACGTCTGTATAATGTAATACCATAAATTTCACTTAAAAACGTCGTACCATTTTGATTACTTTTTAATAACACGTGTCTTGAAATACTCTTATAGATTTTCTTGGATCGTTGAGTCAAAAAAAGATTAAAGATTTTATTAATTACAAGGAATTTTGGAAGTCGGTCATCCGCTACCCTAGAAAAATACTGTGACAATTTATATCAGTTGTCTGGACAACGAAATTATACATTGAGAATAAAAGAAAAAGAAAAGAAGGTCGAAAACATCATGTATATTTTTTGTTTAATCTTTTCGTTGAACAAAACATCGACTTGCATCCAGGCACATACATGTGTAATTGCGTTCGTTACATCAGTTTATATTTCATGATTCATATATGTATTTATATAATCATAAATTTCGCAATCTGACATATTTATTTTAGTTATCTATTTTACTTTTTCTATATCCGTATGATATTATTTATTGATCGTAATTTTCTATTAGCTATGATCAGCATTTCTTTATGAAAATTTCTATATCTAAATTTTTTCATATTGCGTATTACACGCGAATCATTGTATATTACAAATAAGAAAGAAAAGATTTATGATTTTTTCTCGTTTTTATTGCATTAATTTTGACTTTTTAAACATATCCAAATATCCCCTGTAACATTTAAAAATAGATACTTAAAAATAACTTGTTAATGTTCAGGATAGGTCAATGACCTTGATATTTTTGTCACATCATATGTTCCTACAAATAATACTATGCAATACTTCGTGATCTCAAAAGCCTTATATAATTACATATGTTCAATCGATCGTGCGCGTGTTTGCGCACGTGTCATGATTCGTGTTGGATCATTTCTTAATAAGTTCCTTACTATCTAGCTCGTAACAGGAAAATCCTACCAATTGGTTGAGAGTCCGAATTGTTACTCGTGACACTTTAACGATGACGCGAAGAATTACTGTTAAATGAACGTGAATATGATGCTTCGAAGTGACTTGTGAAGTATTCGAATTCTCTTGTGCGGCATGGTTTACTCTTGTACAAGTAGCTATAGTATGTGGAATAGAATCGATCATGGATGCAAGTAAGAAATATGATAATCCAAATCCAAAATTGTCAGCGAATCTCTTTAGTAAACTGGTTTTTTGGTAAGTCCTTTATATCATTTACAATAATTCAGTTAAAATATGCCTACTTTATTGTCATATTTAAGGTGGCTGAAACCTTTGTTTTGGTATGGAAGGAATCATGATCTTGAAATTAAAGATATTTATAATGTTATGCCAAATGATGTTAGTCAATGTCTTGGAGATACACTTGAAAGGTAAATGTAAAATAAGCATATCATATAAGATTAATAACAATACAATTTTTTAAATTAAACTTAAATCATAAAATATGCTTACATTATTTTCATTATTAGAAATTGGTTTCAAGAAATTAAATTAGCAGAAGAAGCTGATAAAAAACCAAGGTTTTTTAATGCTTTAAAGAAAACATTTGCATGGTCATTTACTTATTATGGAGGATGGCAATTTTTTTTATCAGTTGTTTTAAGGTATGGGTTTTGTGTACCTTATTATGAAATTTTTAATAGTACATAATATTACATTAATATTCTAGGGTTTTACAACCATACGTGTTAGGTTTCCTTATTTGGCATTTTGATCCTAGAGCAACATCCACTGCCACTAATGCATATATTTATGCTTCAGCTCTTATACTTATATCCTTATTTGGTGCTTTAATTATTCATCATTCTACATTAGGTTTAATGGAAGTTGGAATGAGAATGAGAATAGCATGTTCTTCAATAATGTATAGAAAGGTAAAATAATTGATTGTTTATAAATTTATATATATTAAGTATTTTCATTTGAAATATCTTCATTTTTAGATTTTACGTTTATCAAAATCATCTACTAATGTCACTACTCCTGGGCAAATTATAAACTTACTATCAAATGATGTAGCAAGATTTGAACAATTATTTATATCATTACATTTTATTTGGATTTTACCAATTCAGGGTGCTCTCATCACTTTTATGATATGGGAAAATGTAGGAATTGCATCTTTAGCTGGTGTTTTTCTTATAAGTATCCAAACAATACCACTTCAAGGTATGTATGATATTGTGTATCAATATTAATTTTACAATAACTTTGCATATTTTTGTAAACAACAAAGAGAAAGATATTAATAAATCTGTTTTTACTTTAGGATATATGGGAAAATGGATATCAAAGTTAAGATTAAAAATTGCAATCAGAACAGATGAAAGAGTACGATTAATGTCAGAAATAATTGGTGGTATTCAAGTTATCAAAATGTATACTTGGGAAAAACCATTTGAGAAGCTTATTAGTCTTATTAGAAGGTTTTCTTTCATATTCTATTATATTCTATTATGCACGTATTAGGTATTATTAAGTGTGCTTAAATATAATTTTAACTTTTTAGTCACGAAATAGACGTTGTAACACTTACATCGTACTTACGAGGTTTTACCTTAGCTACTTTTGTATTCACTGAACGTACAACATTATTTTTTACAATTATGGCATATGTACTTCTCGGAAATCATATATCTGCCGATAAAGTATTTTCAATGGCTCAGTACTTTAATATTCTTCAACTTACTATGGCGATATTATATCCAATGGCTGTATCAGCTGTTGCAGAAGCTTCTGTCTCTATTAAAAGACTTGAGGTGAAATGAATAATCATTATTCTTGCATCCCGTGTAAATGTTATGTAAACTTACATAAATTAATGCATTTTTAGAATTTTCTTTTGTTGAAAGAAAATAATAATGTACTTACAAATATACAACAAACCAATGGAAATGGTAGTATCATAATGAAAAATATCACTGCATCTTGGACAGAAAATACAATTACGAATACCTTACACGGTGTTAATATTCAAATAGAACCTGGTAAACTTTATGCTATTGTTGGATCAGTTGGTGCAGGAAAGGTAATGCATTAAGAAATAATAATCCTAATTATTTGTGATCCTGCCATTTTAAATGATCTTTGTGTCTTAAATTTTCATGTACATTTTCAGAGTTCCTTTCTTCAATTAATTTTAAGAGAACTACAACAATCACATGGAGAAATACAAGTAAACGGTAGTGTCTCCTATGCTAGTCAAGAAGCGTGGTTATTTTCGGGTACAGTGCGCAATAATATACTTTTTGGACAGTTTTATGATAAAAAAAAATATGATGAAGTTGTTAGAACATGTGCTCTCACCAAAGACTTTCAACAATTTAATTATGGAGACAGAACTTTAGTTGGAGATAGAGGTGCAGCACTCAGTGGTGGACAACGAGCGAGGATTAACTTAGCTAGGTATTTATTTAAAACAAAACGATTTTATATCCACCTGATTCATTAAAAATTACTTGAATAATTGTTACAATAGGGCAGTGTATAGAGATGCAGATATTTATTTATTAGATGATCCATTATCTGCAGTCGATACTCATGTGGGAAAACACTTGTTCAACGAATGTATTAAGCATTATCTTAACAATAAAACAAGAATTCTTGTAACTCATCAGGTACAACATTTAAGAAATTGCGATTATATCATCATATTGAACAATGTAAGTTACAACAATTAAAATTATCATTGTACTATATTATTATTATAAATGTAATGATTATTTTAGGGTAAAATTGAGTGTGAAGGTACATATACAGAAATTCAGAACAAACGTACAGATTTTTTAAATATAATTTCAATGGAAGAAAATAAAGGAGATTCTGAAATCATAGAAACAGATGAAAATACTAAACCTGATATATCTATTAATTCCATTACTAATAAAGATGATGACGAAATAGAACCACAAGAAACTGAGGAATTAATGACTAAAGGAAATGTTTCTAAATCCCTTTACTGGAAATATTTTCGAGCTGGGGGTTCAATTTTGATGATAGTCACTTTTATAGGTTCTCTAATTCTGGGGCAAATAGGAAGTAGTGGTAGCGATTATTGGGTTGCCTATTGGTTAATATTTGTTATTATTTTTCTTCTTTTTCTTTCTTAATGAGAGCTCTCTTGTATATTATAATCTAATTTATTTCATTTTTTTTTTTTTTTTAGGACGAAACAAGAAGAAATGCATGTTCAATATATTAGGAATAATAATCACTCGCTGCAAATATTGAAACAAAACATTTCTGACCGAAATATAAGTCAATTAACAAATGAGACATTTGCACTTGAAGTAGACGATTTTACCACTCCAACATTTTTAATGCCGTTAGAAAATAACAGTTTTGATAATATTGTTAGTAACTTTATTTCACTTTCCTTTATTGCTAGAAATGACAACTATTCTTATTTTTTATTTTGTATAGACATGGAATATTAATGCAAAATCTAAAGATTTAAATTATCTTGATCGTGACTTTGCTTTATGGATTTATGGAGCTTTTATCATTGCAAGCATAGTGTTGACAAGCATAAGAAATATCGTATTTTATAAAATATGTATGAATGCTAGTAAAAATCTCCATAATCTAATGTTCTCGTGTTTATTAAAAGCACCAATGTTATTTTTTGACTCGAATCCTTCTGGTGAGTATATAAAATAAAAAATTACACTTCAATTATCATGTAACACTTTTATGACGAAAATAAAATATTGTAATATTAAATTTTAGGTCGTATTCTAAATCGTTTTTCGAAAGATATTGGAGCTGTGGATGAAATTTTACCAAGAACAATGATAGAATCCATTCAAATATTTGCAGTACTAGTTGGAATTTTGGTTCAAATTTTTATTATCAATTGGTGGACAATATTTCCAATGTTTGTCATGGGTTTCTTATATTGGCAAATACGAAATATTTATCTTAAAACTGCACAAAATATGAAACGTTTTGAAGGAGTTAGTAAGTATCTTGTAATTTATTAGAAAAACATTATTCATTACAATTGATCTAATATTGTTAATAATCTTTTATAAAATTTTAGCAAAAAGTCCAGTTTTTTCCCATATTAGTTCCTCGTTATTAGGATTAACAACAATTCGTTCCGCTCGGGCGCAAAATATGGTTCGTAAAGAATTCGACGTTCATCAAGATCTCCATACTAGTACTTATTACTTAACCATAGCAACGAGTACTGCTTTTGGATTTGCATTAGATATTGTATCTATTTGTTTCATTGCTTTTATTACATATAGCTTCATTGTACTTGATGATGGTAATTTGTTAGTTTATACTATAACATCAAGAAAATAATTAATATTATATGGTTAAAATATATATTTACATACTTCCAGGAAATACATTCGCAGGAAATGTAGGATTAGCCATATCTCAAGTATTAATCTTATGCGGAATGCTTCAACATGGAATGAGGCAAACTGCAGAAACAATAGCACAAATGACAAGCGTAGAACGAATTCTACAATTTACACAACTTGATAAAGAAGGACCATTTGAAAGTGAACCTAACAAAAAACCATCTGCACAATGGCCTTCCAAGGGAGAAATTGAATTTGATCATGTGTATTTACGTTATGAAGATTCAGCACTACCAGTTCTTAAAGATTTATGTTTTATCATTAAATCTGGTGAAAAAGTAATTTACCGTTATTTATCAATATAATTAACAAATTATACATCAAAACTAATCTTATATATTATATTTTTAGGTTGGAATTGTAGGTCGCACTGGTGCTGGTAAAACCTCTTTAATATCAGCTTTATTTCGTTTGACTAAGCTTGAAGGTGCTATTTACATAGATAAGTTGGATACAAAGCAAATAGGTCTTCATGAATTACGAAAAAAAATTTCTATTATCCCACAAGAGCCTGTATTATTCTCAGCGACACTTCGAGATAATCTCGATCCATTTCATAATTTTGATGATGCTACTCTTTGGGCTGCTCTCGAGGATGTAGAACTAAAATCGAGTGTTTCTTCTTTAGATTATAATGTTGAACAGGGAGGAACTAATTTCAGTGTTGGACAAAGACAGTTACTTTGTCTAGCACGTGCGATCTTAAGAAATAATAAAATTCTTCTTCTTGACGAAGCTACGGCTAACGTTGACCCTACGACAGATGCTTTAATACAAAAAACTATACGACAAAAATTTAAGAACTGCACAGTATTGACAATAGCACATAGACTGAATACAATTATGGATAGTGATAAAGTACTAGTTATGGATCATGGAAAGGTAGTTGAATTTGATCATCCATATATTCTACTTAAAAATGAGCAAGGCCATTTCACTAGTATGCTCAAAGAAACTGGAAAAATAATGTTTGAACAGCTTAAAAAAGTCGCAGAAGAGGTATACTAAATATTCCTTTTTTTAGAATATTTATTTACAGAAATTCAATGTTATTTTATTAAATCAAATTTTAGGCTTACAATGGTGTGTTCACTGATGCTAAATTACAACTACCACAAATTCTCAATGGCGAAACAATTGAAGATAAATAGAATTTTACTAAATACCAATATTGTTCCTATTTAAATTGTTGTTTACTTCACAATATATATAATATGACACTTTTAACAATCAAAACTAATTGTATAAACTGTACACAATGTCTTCTTTATGTAACTGCAACAAGTAACAGTGATTTAATTATTACAACTACAATTTCCTACACTTTGTTCCATAAAAAAATATTGACATACTGAAAGTATTTATTACATAAAATATTGCATATAATCTTATACCTTATATAGTAATATTTTCATACTGTTTAAATATTATATAATATAAAATATATTTTGTATATGCTAAAAAAGATTGCTATATGAAATGTAATGTAATGTAATTGTAATGTATAATTCTTTATGAAATTTTTAATAAACTATATACATGTATTATTCCAAATCTTCTATATGACCTTTTATAATGAATATAATGAATATAATGAATTAATTATAAAAATTTATTTTAAAGATGTATTACCTACAATTAATAGGGCTTTATTATATAATGACTATAGAAAATAATAGATCTCTTTTATTCTCATTATTAAATAATAGAAAACATTAGATTAATTGAACAGCACCACTTTTAACTAAATCTGCTATAGCACTATATTGTATAATATGTTGAGAACCTGGTTCAAGATCTATTTCTTCATCCATTGAACCAGGGAGTATAATTCCGTTAACTCTGTTATTAGTTCTTAAAAATACATATGTTTGCATGTTAGGTTTTACAGTCAATTTATTAACTTCGAATACCTGGAAATTTCCAGGCATATATTGCAGAGCAATTGTCTTAAAAAGTGTTTCAATATTTGCAAGAAATTCTTTTGCAAATTGGAGTTCTGCAGCTGTTAGATAACATTCTTCGGAAGACCTATTTACTTCTTGAGAAAGTATATGAATAGTGTATTTTTCAATTTTCTCTAATCGAGTTCTCAGATAACTAGATACCACAAATTTAATTCTATCTACTTCCATCCTATGGATCATTAATCTTAGATCTCCCTTATCTAACCTCTTCATGTTTTCTTCCATATGTGTAATTTGTTGCAACATACAATCAACCAAATCAGACTCATGTGGTAGAATTTCAGGAGCAAATTTTTCATTTAACCAAGCTTTTTCTATTGCTAATAATGCAGTTTGAGCCGTTAGTTCTTCCTCTTCCTGTTCACTATCCTCTGTTACTAATTGTACTTTTGAATCATCTTCCATGTTTTATATCTTTTACTTAGAAAACTATTATCTGTATTACGAAATTGTTGAATAAATACAATATAATCTTACTCAATTATGCTATCACAATACCTTAAAACTTTGATGTCGGTTAACCGATGAATAAAGTATAACATATCATCCTATTGTCATTTCAAATTATACCATGTATCACGTGACCGAATTCGATATTTCTCGTTATTTAAATTCGAGTTGCGAATAAAATGTACTTTTGAATTTGAAATTAACGAATCAATGATTACAATCATGGACTAATTTTTGCTTTTATTTATCGATTTATATGCTATAGAAGGAAACGAATAATATTATTTAATGCAAATAATGCATGATGCAAATGGTATTATACGAAAATTAGTTTATGCGAAAGTTATATGAAATTCCATGAAAGAATGTAAACGATGAAAACTAAACGAAAAAGATACATACACTATTATAATAAGCTTCTTATAGCATGAAACCATATTAAAGTTTAAATCTATATAAAACTTATATAGGCATTAAAATCACACGTCTAAATATCTTATACTGAATAAAAAGACTAGTTGAAGAAAAAGGAATAAACGAAGGATATTTATGTTTCTTCAAATATATTTGAACAACTGAAAATGAATGTAAAGATTACTGTAAGATTACGGTTAGTGTTAAATATAAAAGAATATAAAAAGATATAGAAGAAAGGTATCAAAGAATAGGGTGATTCTTCATGTTCTATTCCTATTTTAGCCTCGTAAGGTTTCTGTGTGCGGCACTAAAGATACACCAAGGTATTCTTAAATCCTCGTTAACTTAATAATGTCTTTCTTAAGACTGTTTGTCGTCTTAGATCGCAACAACATATAGAAAACTAGGCGTAGGGGTACATATGGCAGTGTCGAAGTAAGAATCGGTTTGTATTTAAGCGGAAGTCGAACGACGTTGACACGAGCCGCATCCAACAGTGGACCTAACAACAGCCTTCCTACATCCTACTGTTAAATTTAAACAACCCACGGTGGCCAATTGAAATCATATTAAGACGTGTACTTGGATTAGTTCGTTTTAGTACGATTTTCTCCAAGTAGCCCGGAGGTGAGAAACGGAAAGGAGTGACGGTGTTTCATTCGTTCCAAGTGCTCTTTGAAAGTTAGTGTATCAGTAATCGTAATATTCTGTGCTACTCGATAATATTACACAGTTTTCTTATAGTGACGGTTCAGTATCTTTTATCATTGTTGAGTGTTTTACTTTTTCCTTTTGTATTCTGAACTTGGATCACTTGTATTAAATAATCAAAGAAGGAAGGAAGGAAGAAAAAGTAAGAGTTTAAAAAGTGATTTGAATATTTACAGATTCAAGAATGTATGCTGCTGCGGGACCTAGCTATGAAGCTTACTCGTATGGAGCCCAAGGAGCCAGGTTTGGTAATCAAACAGTGGTCGACAAAGTCCCAGCTGATATGCTCCATCTAATTGACGCCCATTGGTATCAATATCCACCTCTAAATCCTATGTGGCATGGACTCCTTGGATTTGTAATAGGTTTACTTGGTTTCATCTCGGTTACGGGGAACGGCATGGTCGTCTATATATTCCTTTCGACAAAGAGCCTTCGCACACCAAGTAATATGTTTGTAATCAACCTTGCCATCAGCGATTTCCTTATGATGTTCTGCATGTCTCCACCTATGGTACACGAAACAATTTTTATTTTTCAATTACAAAATAATTTTAACGGATCATAGAAATTATGTAACTCAATTAGAAAATATTATTACAACTCAAATAACTTAAAATGAAATTAAATAATTCTTTGCTTGGCAGGTGATCAATTGCTATTACGAGACATGGGTACTTGGACCTCTCTTCTGTCAAGTCTATGCAATGTTGGGCTCCTTGTTCGGATGTGGCTCCATATGGACGATGACTATGATTGCATTTGACAGGTACAATGTGATCGTGAAAGGACTATCTGGTAAACCATTATCTATCAATGGAGCTCTCATCCGTATAGTGGGCATCTGGTTGTTCTCTCTGGGTTGGACCATTGCACCTATGTTAGGCTGGAATCGGTAAATCCTAAACTATAATATCAATAATATCGTGGTAAATCCTTTTTTGGATTTTACTCGAAAATGGATTACCAATAACGAAATGTATGATTCTCCGCTTCAGATATGTACCCGAGGGTAACATGACCGCATGTGGTACCGATTACTTCAGCAAAGACATCGTGTCTGTCTCCTACATTCTATTATACAGCATCTGGGTTTACTTCTTCCCGCTGTTCCTTATCATCTGGAGTTACTGGTACATCATCCAAGCAGTCGCTGCCCATGAAAAGAATATGCGCGAACAGGCCAAAAAAATGAACGTTGCCTCTCTTCGATCATCTGAAAATCAAAATACAAGTGCTGAGTGCAAATTGGCAAAAGTATGAAAATTTATATATACAATTTATTGTACTATCCTCGTTTCATCGATTTTGTTACAATATTATAAAATTATTTTACAATAATTATAGGTTGCTCTTATGACCATCTCTTTGTGGTTCATGGCATGGACACCATATTTAGTCATCAACTGGTCTGGCATTTTCGACCTTGTTAAAATCAGCCCTCTTTATACCATCTGGGGATCTTTGTTTGCCAAGGCCAACGCAGTCTACAATCCAATTGTTTACGGAATTAGGTAAGTACGCTTACATAAATTTGAATAAATATAAAATGAAGTTCTACTGTTTTTTATTGTATTTTATTGTTTTCTTTTCAGCCATCCAAAATATCGACTTGCGCTGTTCGCGAAATTCCCATCATTGGCATGCGCTGCTGAAACAGCACCTACAGACGCTACAT